TTCGTAATGAGCAATTTGAGAGAAACATTCTGGATTCTTTCAGGCAGAGTAGCGGTACGGTCAGTTATAAATCGTTGCTCGGTATGTAAGAGACACAATGTGAAGAAATTAGTAGCTACTAGTGGTGACTTGCCGACTGAACGTGTCAAGGATGCTAGAGTCTTTCAAGTAACGGGAATCGACTACATGGGCCCCCTGTTTCTAAGAAAATCACAGAAGGCGTGGATCTGCTTATTCACTTGCGCTGTATATAGAACGATCCACCTAGAGCTTGCCACTTCTCTTTCCACAGAAGCTTTTTTGCAGGTTCTACGTAGATTTATCGCGCGAAGAGGAAGACCTTCGATAATCTACACGGACAACGGGACAAATTTCGTTGGAGCCCGTAATCTACTCCACAAAATTGATTGGAACAAAGTACAACAATTTAGTTCAGCACAACAAATAGAATGGCGTCTCAATCCTCCTTCAGCTGCCTGGTGGGGAGGATGGTGGGAGCGCTTAGTCAAAATAGTAAAGGATCTACTCAAACGGACTCTAAAGAAAGCGTGTTTGTCCTACGAGGAGATGAGCACAATCTTATGTGATTGCGAAGCTATTGTTAATTCACGTCCGCTCACGTACCTTGCCGAGGATCCAACGCAGTTAATACCGTTGACGCCTATGATGTTTTTGCTGGAGACTTCTCAAAACGAGACACCGGATCTGGATAAATTGGAAGTTAATTTGAACAAGCGGATGCGATACCGTCAAAGTCTACGGAACGATCTAAGGAAACGTTTTCGCTCAGAATATCTGGGACAACTATCTCGGCGTAAAGTCAAGGGCAGCCGTATTTCAGTTAAGGAAGGAGATATTGTTCTGCTGGGCCAAGATAATTTAAAGCGGCTGGACTGGCCGTTGGCCCGAGTAATCAAGGTGTTTCCAGGAAGAGATGGCGTTACCAGGGTGGTCAGAGTCAAGACTGCCATGGGCGAACTTGTACGACCGATCCAACGTTTATACCCACTTGAGATGTCTTCAACGACGATGGAAGCTACGGAGAGATTGATTGACGAAACGGACCAGACCAAAGAGGAGAATGGCAGAGTTATCCCACAAGACACTTCGACGCAGACCCGTACCCGAAGCGGTAGACTTGTGAGAACCCCTGACAGATACGGGATCTAAATTAGATTTTTTTTTCGTTTTATAAGTTTCCCTTTAAAGTTTAGAGTTGTACATGTTGAATTTGGTTTTTTAATTTGCATTTTGTTAGAACCTCATGTGCAATGTAAATTTGATATAGAGTTTTTCCGTTATTGTAAAGTTTATTTGTTGAGTTATTCATAAGTTCCTCTCATAACTCAAGGTGGGAGGATGTCAGAAATTGTTTTTATTTGAGCGATGCGTTGCGCCTCGTAAGACGCCTGCGCGCTGGACGCCCCGCGCGCACTATGTTTCCGCTCTCTCGCGTGTCGTGCACTGGTATGTCGCTCGCTAGCCAGCACGCCGCTGTGCTATCACGCTGTTACTGATAATCGCAATAAAGTGTGTTAATCCATTAATTGTGTAATTCCCTCACGATTCCAACACGTTACGTCAGCACCGCCACTCTAAAAACGCGTGTTTTTACA